AGATAGCTTAATTTTGGTTTTCCCTTTTGTTAAAGGAACACATTATTTAGGTCTGTCAAGATGGGTGTGGTTGGCTGTTCTTCAAACTAAAATGTGCTCAGAAAGATTAAAGCAGAGCTTGGCACGGTTTCAGACAAAAAAAATATCTATCTGTGTACAAAGTGCCACCAAATGGCATGTAGAACAGCCTTCTACCTTGCAATTACATAAGGTCTTTACACAACATACAAAGAAATGAATTGACTGGGGTTCTTCACACCCTAATGAAATACAGTATGTGAGAAAAACACTGAATATCTCATTGTTTATATGAGGTTCTGGTGCCTATATAGTGAGACCGTGAGAGAAGCTGAATGAGTACATGGGCTACAATGCATCGATCTGATTACGTTGTAAAACTATTTGAATGAAAGCTTAGACCGAGTAAGCATTGCAAACAATGGTTCGTCTCACAGTTGTGACTACATCGCAAGCTGAGGTCTCTAGTCAGGATATGAATTCTGTCTCTTTCTCTCCCATTTATTGTATTTTTCGCTATATAAGACGCACCAGACCACAAGACGCACCTAGTTTTTGGAGGAGGAAAACAAGAAAAAAATATTCTGAATCTCAGAAGCCAGAACAGCAAGAGGGATCGCTGCGCAGTGAAAGCAGCAATCGCTCTTGCTGTTCTGGCTTCTGGGATAGCTGCGCAGCCTGCATTCGCTCCATAAGACGCACTTACTTTTTAGGACGGAAAAAGTGAGTCTTATAGAGCAAAAAATACAGTAATTTCCATCAGAACTGGTGCTGATTCGGATTCTCCACCACCTTACTGGGGGAAAGGATTGCACAGGCACCTTCAGCGATGGCACTGAACTTACACAACCACTCCCTGCATGGAATGAGCATAGGGACAAGATGGTACCTCACAGCACCTGAAAAGACAGTTCTTGTGGAATGCAACCATCTTCTGAAAACAGCTTGGATCAGAACCACCACATTCCTATCCTGTTGGAAGTGAAACAGCAGAGATCATTCCATGTGCAACTTAATTCTGTTTGTGTGTATAAGTCAACTAGCCAAGAGGGGGATGAGTGGAGGTGTTCTTAGCCAACCAGGCAGAGTGGTATGATCTTTGCTGAAGTAGCACATGCCCTGACTGGCTATATAGTTTTGAAAGAGTTTTCCTCTGCATGTTTGGTTGAATGTCTCCCTGCTATGTATGAGACCTGAAGTAAGAAAGACAAAATTACTCTGTTTCTGTTCAGTTTTGCTCAGTAAAGTGTTATCAGGATGTTTCTCTCTTGACTCCACATGCATTATTTTAGTGACTTTGCTGACATTTCTAGCTTAGCCAAAAGGATTAATGGTATTAAAAGTTGCTGAGAAGCCTGAAGAAATTGACAGGACACACTCTCCTTATCTGCTTCCTGACTAAAGTTTTTCAGCCAGCAGAATCAAGGTGGTTCCTGGTCCCAAATCTGGCCAAAGTTAGTGTCCAGTTTATCAGTTCCCTTCAAGACTATCTGGACCTGACCCATTACAACCCACCCTACCACATTGCATGTGAAGAGAATATTTGAACTTAGCTTCGTTAAATAAATCTAGTTACAGCTTTTTCACTGAAGGTCTTATAGTGGCCTTTTTCAAGGGCCTTGGTGGAACCATCTTTTCTTTCAGGCATACATTAACCCAGCAAGCAAAACAAGGTTCTAGAGCTTCTTGCAATAACTTTATCCACATCTTCGGGCCACAAAAACAAATTCAGCCAAGCAACTGTGGTAGCATGAGGTTCCCATGGGACAATTCTGTGACAACTGTGGACTCCAGGATAGAAGGGATGCAAATGGTTTTGTCTGTCATGTGCTTTGCAAATAGGTCCCACAGCGACCAACTAATCACACATGTTTCTGGAAATCCATAAGCAGAACATGACAATGATGCACAATCTCTACTGTTTGGCACTTGTACTGGGTCCCCAGAAGTATATCTGAATGTAGAATATTCCTCTTCAGTCCTAACTCCATTTGGCTGCTTTAGATATGGGCCTGATAAATCCCACAAAAGAGAAAGGCTCGTCACTACTACCACCAAAGAACAAGAAGCCTGCAGAAGTCTGTATTCGCCACCTGCTGTATATTATCTCCATTGCAATAAAAATCACGATTAATGAAGCTCTGTATCTAAAATCTGCATGCATCCGCCTCCGATAAAAAATTAAGTTACCTGAACATTTGGGAATTACTGAAGCATGTTACAGTAGCGGGTATGCTGAATCCCAAAAGGATATTTTATCCTTTTGAATATTTTATAGTTGATATATCCCAGAGCAGAAAAAATATTAAAAGGCAGTCTTCCAATTAAGTGTGAAGGTTGCATCTTTACACACACTTTTCCTGGAACAAGTCCCATTGAGCACAGTGAGCAAACATGCATTTTACTTGTTTAGTAAATTTCAATACCATCCTTCACCTGAGGATTACAGGGCAGTTTACATAGGATTGCAGTGAATCGTGTCCAATAACATTATGCCTTATCACATAGGTCTGGTTTTTAGCCACCCCTACCACACTCCATGCAGGGACGCGGGTGGCGCTGTGGGTAAAAGCCTCAGCGCCTAGGGCTTGTCGATCGAAAGGTCGGCGGTTCGAATCCCCGCGACGGGGTGCGCTCCTGCTGCTCGGTCCCAGTGCCTGCCAACCTAGCAGTTCGAAAGCACCCCCGGGTACAAGTAGATAAATAGGGACCGCTTACCAGCGGGAAGGTAAACGGTGTTCCATGTGCTGCGCTGGTTCGCCAGATGCAGCTTTGTCACGCTGGCCACGTGACCCGGAAGTGTCTCCGGACAGCGCTGGCCCCCGGCCTCTTGAGTGAGATGGGCACACAACCCCAGAGTCTGTCAAGACTGGCCCGTATGGGCAGGGGTACCTTTACCATCAGAAAAAACACAATTAAAGGGGAAAAGGTTTGGGGCAACACTGAGATGGGGTGGACATCATAATTAAACTATGTTAAGTAAGCCTGAGTATGCTGAAGGCTTAAGAACATTTAAGAACACAAATATCTTATGAGATAAAATCAGGGACCAGAATACTATACAAGGATTCAAGTTAGGTGGTCCACTGGAAATTTGCCAGCAGTCCACTAGTTCAAAACATTTGAAGGGAACCATGAAAGAAAGTGCAAGGTGTACTGTGTTGTTAGTATCAATGGAATGAGAAATATACTTCATAACCTAAGCAAATCTGGAGCCTGCCATGGATATTTTACCGCCTGTGGCAAAGAAACAAAATGTTCTTCCATTTATACAGAAGCCCAGTAGACTGGCAGTTCAATCTTACTTCAACACCCACAACAGGAAAGCACCCTTTAATGCACCTGAAGGAAGGATATTAATTTAGTGAGTGCAGATGTGCTACATGATACACACAACTCTGCCCCTGAATACCTCTCTGCCACTCTCTGCCCCCTACCAGCAGCTGCTATGCCAGGTGGCTGCCGCACACTACCTAATGGCAGGACCTGGTAAGTGTATGCTACATGGAAAGCTGAAATTGATTCACAGCCAAAAGACAATCTGACATGCTGGGGTTTTGGTGGTGGCAGAGAATCATTCAGAGAAAGTTTGGTTTGACAGAGAGTGCAGTATTTAATTAAGTTTCACTTGGTGTGGACATGACTAAGTTAGGTCCCTTAATTTCAGTGGGTCTAACTTGAGTAAAACTCAGTTGAATACCACCCAGATTTATTTTTTTAATAGTTCACCCTAATTTTAAATGCTGGCATAAATAAAAAACTGGATACAGAATAGTTTTGCTGCTTTATTACAAACAAAAAGATTTTCGCAAGAAATGGTTAACAGAATTATTGAAAGGTTTTAAACAATGTACAAATGCATTAGAAAATGCATCTGTGACTCAGATATAGACAAATCAGATACTTTCAAAGTAACTGAGATTTAAGCTTAGAATAGAAGCAAACAGTATGGTTGTTTCATCCAGTTGCAGGCAGGAAAGAAGCTCGTCACTTCTGTTGTTGATGCATTTTCATACTGAAAGCAAAAAAGAGAATATTCAGGACCCTTCTCAGTAAAATGCCCGCAAAAAGACAGTGAAAAACATCAACAGTTTGAAAAACAAAAGCTTGCAACATGTTTGTGGCAATCGCTCCAAATCCCTGGCAAGAAAGCCTATATATATAATCATGAAAAATAAGTCATGTTAGAGGCATAAGGGAACAATAATTAAGGTACCATAATAGTTAATTTAGAAAGGATGAGAAGTTAAATACTAGAACTTTTTTGGGGGGGAGAGAGAACACTCACTCCAAATACTTTTTAAAGAGTAATGCTCATGGAAAGTAAAAGTTTAAATAAACAGACAGACAGACATCCTAGTGATGTGTTCTGATATTATCAGAGTTTTGAATGGGTATCCTCTCTGGACTTTCCATGCCATGGGTTATGATGCACATACAGGCAACCTCAAATACTCACAAGTGATTTCATATGCACAGAGGGGCATCGGCATCACCCTTGTGTGCCTCTCCTGTGCCTTCCACATACCAAGCCTATGGGTTGTGTACACATGCAGCTGCACATGCAAGCCCTGCTGTCATCCACCACCACCTAAAACGGGAATAAAAGGAACATGACAATTAAGGACACACACACACAACTGACTAGGCGCCCATGTATGATGCTGTATGCAGTTCATAGTGGGGTTAGATACATGCATGCAGCCCCGATACCTTGCCATGTGTATAGATGCACCATAATGGAATGTGGAATAGATTTAAATTTGTTGATGGTGGGGTGGAAGAGTGCTTGCCTTTTTCATGTCATTTAAATTTTGAACGCTCAGCTACCGATTGCATTGAAAGGTGATAAGCTGCACGCAGGATTCTGCAGGAAAGAAGCACAACTCGGCAGCGACACAGTGAGAATTGCAGTATCCAATAATGGAACAGCTTCAGGTTCTTCTAAACCTGATTGGATTCTTTCTTTTCCTTATTTGAAGGGGGAACCAGAACAGAACCATGGGAACCCTCAACTGCGGTTGTCAACCAAAGTCACAGTCTCCACCTACAGCAGGAGTGGGGCAACTCTGGCCCTTCAGATCTTGTTGGACTCCACCTCCCATTAGCCCCAACCAGCATGGCAAATGAACAGGGATAATGGGAACCATGGTCAAGCAACACCTGAAGGCCTACGGTTTCCTACCCCTCACCTACAGAATGGCAGGTATGATTGCATCTTCATTGAACCTGTCCTGCCTGCAACCTCCTAGAACCATTGTGGTTGCAAAGCAGTATACAAATACAGTGGTACCTTGGGTTAAGTACTTAATTCATTCCAGAGGTCCGTTCTTAACCTGAAACTGTTCTTAACCTGAAGCACCACTTTAGCTAATGGGGTCTCCTGCTGCCGGAGCCTGATTTATGTTCTTATCCTGAAGCAAAGTTCTATTTCTGGGTTAGTGGAGTCTGTAACCTGAAGCGTATGTACCCTGAAGCGTATGTAACCCGAGGTACCACTGTACTGTAAAAACAAATCTATCAGATATGTTGTGGCACGATCATCAGCACGCTCACTAAGAATTAAAGCACAGTGTTCAATTGAGCTGACGCAGTATGGGTAGGACTAATGGGTTATTCAGTATGGTTAGGATCAGGACTCCCCCCCCAGCTGGAGCTCATTGGGACTCTAGTTCCGGCACCTCTCAGGTGGGTGCTATTGCCATTCTAAGAAAACAAGGCAGGTGTTCATCCAGCACCTCTTTTTCTAAAAAATAGCATTGCTTAGGATTAATGGGTTATTGGTGACATGAGGAAGAGTGGAATATCTAGCAATTATTCTGAGAAATTTCTGTCTCCCATTGCTTCCTGCAGTCTTGGTACCTCAGGGCAACTAGATTACTTGAGAGTAATCTATCCTGGCAGTCACTTGTAAATCAGATTTGAATGAAGGTTTATGTCATTCTTTTTCTAGGCTAGGGAACCTGTGGTCCTCCAGATGTTCTTGAAGTGCAGTTCCCCACAACCTTGCCCATCAGCCATGTTGCCTGGAGCTACTAGTCCAACAAAGTTGGGCGGCCCCAGATTTTCCACCTCCTTTTCTCAAAAGAAAGAACAGCACGGTCCTTGAAGGATTCTATGGAATAAATTATTTGTCGATAAGCCCAAGCCCTCATCAAGAAACAGTCTGAGGGAAGCAAATCTAAATATCACTCATCCATGGTGATACAAAAGATGTAACAATAAACTAAATAATTGTCTGTCTTGAAGTAGCTTCCCAGCTGTTGACTCTTGAGGGAAGCCACTTCACCCTGCCAAAGAATTTGGTTGGATCTGACTTCAATCCAGAGAACCCTCAGCAGGTGTGCTGCTGTACCCATATGCAAGTAATCCACACATTTGTGGAATATGGAGAGCCATATGGATATTCCTCATGGTTTATGCCATTGCAAGATGTGTGTTCTCTTCCCTTTACCCCACCTGAAATCCTTTCCCCATGGCTTTCCCCACTTCTGTGCTGCATTCCCTGGATTTAAACAGTATAATGCACCATTTGACTGCCATCACTAGGTTTGTATCCTTTAGCTCTTCTTGGACAAAGCTAATGAAACACATTTCTTATAGCTGAAAAACATATGGCCTTGCCTTGCTTTATACTCCATATGTATGGAAGCTTGCTAAGTGACCTGGAATCATCTATCCCAGCTTTAGTCCCTTACTCTTTATGCTTGTGGCCCTCAAGATAGTTGTTGTTTAGTCGTTTAGTCGTGTCCGACTCTTCGTGACCCCCTGGACCAGAGCACACCAGGCACTCCTGTCTTCCACTGCCTCCCGCAGTTTGGTCAGACTCATGTTTGTAGCTTCGAGAACGCTCAAGATAGTATTGCATTGAATTCTCATCATCTCTGACTGATAGCCATGCTGGCTAGGACTGGTGGGAATTGGAGTCCAACATGTGAAGGGCCCACATTCCCCTGTCCCACTTTACATTATTTTCTGAAGCGTGGGATAGTCCCAAAGCAATCAATGCTACAACACACTATTATAACTAAGCAGAAGTATGTGTAAGTGAAGTAATACTATACTCTGCCCCTGCCTTACCCATGCGTCCTAGTACTCCCTTCCCCTGAGGCCACCCTGTGTTTCTTTTAGACTGCAAGCCCCTTGTGGCAGTGAGCTGCCGCACCTATGTTCTTTCTAAAGCAGCACTGACATAGATGGCACACAAAATTGTGATCGTAAGGTGGAATAAGCTGAACTCCAGAGAGCCAGACATCTGAGGAAGTTTGAGCAAACCAAGGAAGGCACGTCCTCTTGGATTACATCACATAGGGATGTCATCACCACGCTGCTTTAAAATGCTAGCGTTAGTCAGTGCAAATATATTACCTCACAAAAAGCAGATTACTTAATATGTCTGATAAATGGGTCTGCATATACACGAGGGCAGGGATCATTTCACTGACGATGTTGAGACCATTTTATTTGAGAACAATCACTGCAAAACACAGTAAAAATGAGCGAGAGAACCCAGAATTACAAGAATATATAAGAGGACAAAGCTGGATTGTCCAAATGGGGTTTTGAACAATTAGGATTTAATTCCACAATCATAAAACAGATCTTTATACTGCCTTCTACAATCCTGCATGTAACAGAGATGCTTTTCATTCTGTTTGTGTTACATGCAAATACTCCTACTGTAACAATGTAGAAATCAAGTGTACATTGTAGCCAATGTAGGTATTTTACTTAGTAGCAATCTGATTCAAGCTTCAGGCGTAAAAATGCCCTTTAAAATGCACCTAGCAGGTTAAAGTCCTAGGTTCCTCAGCGGAACTATCGCACACGTTACAAATACCAGCCAACTGGTTAATTTCTAAGTTAGCATCTCCTTTGTTTTGTAGAAGTCCTGGAAGATCAAGAACAGAAGAAATAATATAGTGAGGGACTGGAGAAGTGTCTTTTGGAGGCGTGACAGTTTTATTTATCCAAACTGTTGCTTTAAAACCTGCATTCAGGCCTCCTTGAATGTCTGTATCTAAAGAGTCACCAACCATCACACAATCCTCAGGCTGAACCCCTAAAAGTTCACAACAGTGATGAAATATAGATGATGCCGGTTTCTCTTCTTTTTGCTCTCCCCCCACAACAATTGCATCAAAGTATGGCTGGCAAGCACAGGCTTCAATCTTTTCTCTTTGTGTCTGAGTGTCTCCATTTGTCAGCAGAAGCAAACGGACATATTTCCTAAGGTTGCTGAGCATCCCCCGTGTCTCTTCTGCCAAGGTCAGATGTTGCAGGCGGGTAGTTTTCCAGAGGAAATAACATTCTGTAGCTAGATTGCGGTTGGCTGTTCCTCCCTTTATTTCTTGTATAGCTTCTTCCCAGTGCTGAATCCTTAAGTCAGTAATACACATCTTAGAAGGATCGTGGCACTCTTTGAGGAGTTTGGCTTGGACTTTATCACAAATCAGGTGAGCTTCTTTTTCGTCACAATGATGCTCTGACTGCAAGACATTTATCACCTATGAAGTGAAAGTTAAAACAGAACAGGATCAGTTTGGCGAAGATTCTACTGGTTTGCTCTGTACTGGACAACAGCTTATTTCTAAAATATGTTCCACCGGAATGTGCAACAGTATGGATCCAATAACCTGCCACATGGAATGCAATACCTCAAGGACTGCCTCCATACTTACTGACCCAGACCCTGCAATCATCATCTGAGGGCCTTCTTCATGTGCCTCCTCCACGAGGGGTCTGGAGGGTGGCAACATGCAGCGGCTCCCCATTTGTGGAATGATTTCCCTAGGGAGGCTTGCCAGGCACCTTCATTACATATCTTTAGGCGCCAGGCAAAAAACATTCCTCTTCTCGCAGGCCTTTGGCTAATTAAACAATCTATGGCCTTTTAAACTTGGGTGCGTGTGTGCGCGTGTGTGTTTGTTTGTTTTGTTTGTTATTATGTCGGCTGTTGTTGTGCTTTTGTATTGTAAACTGCCCTGTGATCCTCAGATGAAAGACAGTATAGAAATTTAATAGATAATACTAAATAATAATATGACGATGAATGCAGCAATGCCACACAGCCCGTATTCATCTCACAGACACCATTTTCAAGAGCACAACTCTTTTAGTACTCATTCAGTTCTCAGTTGTCCTCTTATATTGGTTGAAGTCAGCAAAGCAGCAAAAACTAAATTAAAGGATACTGCACCTGCAGTCCTCTAATCCACATCCTGAAACAGCAATGCTGTTCTATTCTACATTTACACAAGAGCTCTCCTTTTGTTACAACGTGAGTTAATTTCTGCAAGGTGGGATGTTGGAACACTAGAGCTTTCTCTATGCAAGGACACAAAGCCTTTTAACCACTACCATAATAGAGCCCATGTAAATGACATTAACCCCAGTAAGCATTTTGATTTAGAATGTCAAAATCAAATCATGGCATATTTTGTGAAATACATTATGCTGCATATCCAAGGGGGACACTATTTTCAAGTTCTTCATGTGAATTCCAAATTACTCTGTCTCTCACATACTGCAATTTTTTTTAAAAAAGGCAAGCCTTTATCGTACTGTGCATAAGTAAAAGTGTCAAGGTACATTCTCTTCTTCTGGATTAATTGGCCAATGGCCAAGAACAAATAACTATCCTCTGATTACTTGCTGTTACTTATGAGTACTTAATACATTAAGGGCTGTGGCTCAGTGCTTGTGCTTTGCATGTAGAAGGTCCCAGCATCTTCAAGTCCGCCTGAAAGAGACTACCAACTAGAGAGTCATCCACCAGTCAGTGTAGCCAATATGGATTAAGATACAGACCAATGGTCAGATTCAGTATAAGGTAGCACCCTGGTGTCCCTAAACTTGTCAGCGTTCCTCACATGGCCCCCAGAAGTCAGCCGTTCAGGTACAAAGATGCCCTTAAGAGAAGACATGCAAAATACCCACAGCGCTTCCTCCCCTACAAGGGGCAACAGGGCCTTTCCTTGAAAATCTTCAAGAAAGAGATCCATAGTGAAACAGATGAAACATCCAACAGTGATGACTGAAAGAGCTGTAAAAGAAAATCCAATAGAATTTGTGCTCTTGAAAGTCGTGTCTGGGAGTGAATGCTGGCTGTGTGACATTGCTGCATTCACCATCACCATCACATTATTTATTATTATCTATTAAATTTCTATACAGTGGTACCTCAGGTTAAGTACTGGAGGTCCATTCTTAACCTAAAACTGTTCTTAACCTGAAGCACCACTTTAGCTAATGGGGCCTACTGCCGCCGCGCCGCAGGAGCACAATTTCTGTTCTCATCCTGAAGCAAAGTTCTTAACCCGAGGTACTATTTCTGGGTTAGCGGAGTATGTAACCTGAAGCGTATGTAACCCAAGGTACCACTGTACTGTCCTTCATCCGAGGATCACAAGGTGACTTAAAATATAAAAACACAAAAATACATAACACAGGAACTAACAAAAAGAATAACGCCTCTGCCCCCCCCCGTTTAAAAGGCCATAGATACTTTAATTAACTAAAGGCCAATACTGATTCAGCACTGGGTCCCCTTAGCCCGAGATGTTCGGGAGATGGGAGTTGCAAAGACTTTATTTCCTTAAAAACCACAAATCCACAACAGATTCAGAGCAGGAACTGTCGGGCAATAAGGCTTTATAGCTTATTATACTTGCACTTCCTTGTCGTTGTGTTTTTTTTAACGGAGGAAGAACAGAAGGGAGGAGCTGCAACCGGTACCTCCTCAATGGCTCTCCTGCCTGCGGCGGCGGTGTCGATCAGCGTGTTGTCCAAGTCAAAGAAAACAGCCTTGACCCCTTGCAGCCCCATAGCAGCAGCAGCAGCAGCAGCAACCCCACTGGAGTCGCAGGTGGAGGAAACAGCCGCGTCCGCCCTGCCAGCTATGCAAGCTCAGCTGGCCGATTCATTTGCTTGTGTCTCGCGAGAACTGGCAACTCCCGAGAAAAAGCGAGACCGCTCTGAAAGGGATGCGGGACGTGCCCGTCGGAACTCCCGTCCCTGTGGGATTCTCAGATAGACCCAGGCGTATAGACTTTTAAGTGTAGAGCAACGCACACAGCCAATTTCCGGGTCCTTCCGGGTTGCGTTTTTGGGGAGTGTTGGCATGGGCTCCGTTTTGAGATGGAAATGTAAGCCAGCCTCAAGCACCTCAACGGTGGTCCATCATAGGTTGCTTAATCTCAGCCTGACCTCCCCCCCCTCCTCCTGCAATATGAGCAATGGATCAAATGGATCAATGGATCATTGCAAGGCTACTAATTTCATAGCTGTCAACGTTTCCCGTTTTTTAAGGGATTCCTCGCAAGAAAAGGGAAAAGTTGACAGCTATGACTACTTTGTAAGCTTCTCTCAGCTTTCACACTGCACTCCAGGGCGATACCGGGACCAGAACTGTTGGGATCGGATTTGGACAGGCAGACTCAAAAATAAAAAAATACAATAAAAAAATAAAATAAACGAGGATTATTTTCCACACGGCATGACCTTGTGTTACAAGAGAAGGGGCGGGGAACTTTATTTACTCCTCCCTGTTGCTTCAGGCGCGGATGCCACATCACATTTCTCCATCGATAACACGTAGCAGCTCTCAGTTCCGCAATGGTGGGCATTGGAAAAAATGCTTTGTTCCCCCCTATCTGGACCCAGAAACGACCTATCGCAGCAGTGAGACAGCCTCTCTATTATTTTTACTCCGTATCTCTGCGGCCTCTCTTCACAAACGAACGTCGTCGGCAGTGGAGGGAGGAGCCAAACCTTCCGCGTCACCTTTGCCTCTTCCCCGCCCCCTTCCTGACTCAGCGCTCCACCTAGTGTGGTGGGGGAGGGGCGCCGCGGCGCTGCTCGTTCTTGCGGGGAGTGGGCGGGGGACGAAGGCGGCTCTTCCTTTCTACCTCAGGCGAGCTGTCTCGTCCGCGAGGAGGAGGAGGAGGCGGGTCTCCTGGGCGCCTCGGGAGGGGCTGGGAAAAACTTTTTCATTTGAATGACCTAAGGGGCAGCGCAGGTGTCCTCCTGGCTATGGCTCCGTCGACGGGTTGTAGATAAAACCCGCTCGCCTCCCTTCCCTTCATGGCTGCCCTGGTGTTCTGCAATGCTTGCTTCCAGAAGCCCCAAAGAGCCGCCCAAAAGTTCTGCCTGACCAACTGCGGCCATGTTGTCTGTGAGCAGTGCCTCCGGAAAGGTAGCCTCCCTACAGCCTCCCTATTCTACAAATAGCTACTTTTGCAAGAACATACACGAATTGGCGGAGTCTTGCCTCACAGAACAGATGTGCTGAGCCTTTGGCCCTCCAGGTGTTGCTGGACTACAGCACCCATCAGCCTCAGCAAGCGTAGCCAACAGCTAGGGATGATGGGAGTTGTAGTTCAACAAAACATGGAAGCCCCCCCTCCAGCAGTCTAGAGGAATATAATGTTAAGGAACCTTAAGTCATAGGTTAAAGGCAGAACCTCAGTATGAATCCAAGTCTACCTTTTAATCCTCAAGGCAGTTCATGGCACACAGGGTACTGGCAGTTATTGGCAGGGGGGGGTGGTTCCTTCATAAAAATTGGTCCTACAAACTCGCCCTGAAGTAACTGCAGCAATGCAAACTATGGTATATGGCACTCTCAATCTCAGGCATCCTCACTTCTAACCTTAAAATGTCTCCGTTTTGTGTCAACAAGCTAGTCCGTTGTGTCCAATAGTATTAAGCTTTTAAGATGAGTCGGTCCTTTTAATTATTGTTCTGTATTGTTTTTAATAGTATTTTATCTCATCGTGAATCTTGTTGTATACCACCTTCAGATTTTGCATGAGGGGTTAATCTATAAATAATTTTATACTGTAAATATATCTGATAAGTGGGTAGAGTTGCATGGCCTTAACAACCTCCATCTCAACTCTGTACTCAGAAACATACTGTTGTTTCTTTCCTGTGGCTGAAAAGTCATGAAGATCTTGCTTAGGGGCATCAATAACCATTATTTACTTATCCCACTCAATTTTTAGCATTAGCATTAGCACATACAAAATAATTTAAAACCATTTTATTTGTAATTTATGTGCATCTGTCACATTTTAAGTGTAACACCAGCATTCTCCGTATTTTAAGTCAGGCAGACTTCAGTGGGAGTATTGCAATATCTAGACTTAAAATACAATCCTGTACATGTCTACTCAAAAGTAACTTCCAATGGTGCTTACTCCCAGCTAAATAGTTATAAACTGCAGTCTTAACATCCTGGCTTGAATCCTGAATTCTCCACTTGTGATGCAAAAGCATCCCATCTGCAGAATTCTGCTCATAGGATGTCTTGCTGGCAAGTGAGGTGACTTTCAGCAGCAAAACCAACAAGAGTCTGGTAGCACCTTAAAGACTAATATATGTTATGCCTTAATAGATTTGTTTATCTTTAAGGTGCAACAGGAGTCTCTAATGTATTTATATTTTTAATTCATCAAAGGTTACAACACACATTTGCTAATCAAAATAACATTTACTATGCATTGATCTTTATTTTATAGGTAAAAAAGATGAGTGTGTGATTTGCAGAGCTCCTTGTCGTACAATAGTCCTTTCCAAAAAGGTACAGAAAAACAGTTGCTTGCAACTACAATGTTTGAGGATTTACAAATGCTTAGTAACATAAATATTTTTATTGTTATTTTAAAACTTAGTTATTTTGTCCTGTTGATTCCACTGGAACATAATCTTTTAAAAAGTGTATTTTGATTTTGATCCCAGACCAACTACCTAGTTCTGTAACTATTCTGTAACTATTTTTTATTATTTATATGACTTACATACCAGTTACTGTAAATAATCTCTTAGTGGTTCACAAAAGAAACATGCAAAAAATAAAAATAAATGTACAGTGGAGTACCCAGGGTTGGTTGTAAAACCTTTGCTAGTGTAATTCCAAAGTTGTGCTGGCACTGGGACCTAGAGCCTAGATTCAGTATTAGTATCGTGGTAGCACTTTAACATTGCCCTTTATGTTCTGTGCTGTATGCAAGACTGAGTGTTTTTGTTTTTGATTTGCAAAGTAGCTTATTTTTGTATACAGTGGTACCTCGGGTTACAGACGCTTCAGGTTACAGACTCCGCTAACCCAGAAATAGTACCTCGGGTTAAGAACTTTGCTTCAGGATGAGAACAGAAATTGTGGCGCGGCGGCAGGCCCTATTAGCTAAAGTGGTGCCTCAGGTTAAGAACAGTTTCAGGTTAAGAAGAGACCTCCAGAACGAATTAAGTTCTTAACCCGAGGTACCACTGTATTTCAAAAACATTGATATGCTTTGAATTTTTTTTGGTCATGTGTAATATGTTTCTCTGCAGGTGAATTCAAATATCCAGTTGCTGTTTATGGAAATAGATGGATTATGCAAAACATATTCCAAAGAAATCACACAAGTGAGTTGTTTGTTATCTGTTGGAGTGATTTTTCATCAGGAATATGCTAGAGATGATTTTCACCATCAAATTGTCACCAACCCAGAAGAAGAAATTCTTTAATGGATTTGGTATTGCCAATGAATATAGAATACATCATATAGTTATTAGAAATTACTTATAATGTAATATTTTGTGCAATAAAATTGCATTTTGGTATAGAGCATAGGTGTGAGAACTTTAATTTAGCTTTAAGTGAAAAATTAGTATCTGAAGGTATCTGAAGAAGTGTGCATGCACACGAAAGCTCATACCAATAACAACTTAGTTGGTCTCTAAGGTGCTACTGGAATGAATTTTTTTATTTTGTTTCAACTACGGCAGACCAACATGGCTACCTACCTGTAAATTAACACAGTTATTCTCATCCGAATAATTTTAGAGTTTATTTCATTTCTTACATTAATGGTTGGTTGCAAAATATTAAATGTAGTTAAAATAAGAACTTGAAATTATATATAATCCAGTAATTATGAAGTGGCATTCATAATTTGATCCAGCAATTAAAATTTCTCTGGTGTCCCCTCAAGAACAATTCAAACTAGTTTGGAACTTGACCTTTAGACATGGGTGGTATATTATCAGATATCATGAAAAAGTTTCCTAAAAGGATTTTTTAAATGGTTCTTAGGATAAAGGAGTGAACAGAAGGTTTCATACACACAAGGCACTTCCCCAAATAGGAGCAAAGGCACAGAAAAGAAAACTAGGTTTAACTGCATCCAGTATTTTGATTAAATTTACAGTTCTATGCTGTAACTTTCCTGCATAGAGACTTGTGTTGATTCATTTCCCTCCTGCATGGCGGTGTGTCTCTTTGTCTTGCTCCTCCTTGAATCTGAATCTCAAAGAAGTTCCTGACTAATTATAGCCTGCAGATGCCTTTGATTTGTATTGCAGTACAAAGGCTTCAAAGAAACAATGGCCACTGTCCTTGATAGACAGGGTTTAATTATGACAAACTTTTCTAATTAAAAAGTGACATCTATCAACTTGTTTTATCAGATGGGCAAAGCTGTGAGACAGCCAACAACTTAAACCCATAATCTCCAAAGAAATACAAACAATATTTTTTAATCAGCTCACTTTCTTCTCAGTTCTTAATGTGCTGTGCATGCACACACACAATATTCTCAGCAGACACTTGAGTGCTGTCACAAGTGGAGGCCTTGAGGCGAGCAGTTCACTGGGTGATCCATTGTGAAGTATGAGAGGTCCTGTCCTTTAGCATTTTGAACAGCCAGACCAGGCCCAATGGCAAAATGGCACGGGAACGTCATGCTGGATGCCATTGAAGAGTCATTCTGCAACAAGTTTCTTGCTTGGAAAGAACAGAATAGTGGCCTTAGAGTGAACTGGCTCTGGAAAAGTATGAAAAGTATGACTACGTGCTCCTGTTTTAAAAGAAAGGATATGATAATTAGCATTAGGTATATAATTTCTCTTGTTTTTTATTGTTCTTCATCTAGTTGTTCATCATGGCAACATACCAGTAATTGAATGACATGTAATCCTGTTTTTCTTCTTTTCTAGATTGCCCATTTCCAAGAAAAACACAGAAGACGGTTATTAGCAAACTACAAAGGAAAGGTATTGTTTTATATATATATATTTATACCCCCTTTCCCCCCCTGACGGGACTCCAAGCAACTTACAGATAAAAACAAGAACTACTAAAAACATAGAAAATAAATCATTAAAATGCAATTGAACACTGATTAAAATGAAATACATATATAAAATCTGTGTAAAACGTGTCCACAATTACAATAAAAACAGCACGGTCCCAGCCCTTTCATTAAAAGCAGACAGTTCTCCAAAGCCTGTTGTATCAAGGTAGTCTTCACTTGCTAGCGGAAGGACAGCAAGGAGGGAGCCAGTCTAGCTTCCCTGGGGAAGGGAGTTCCAAAGTTTGGGAGCAGCCACCGATAAGGCCCTCTCCCACATCCCCACCAAGTGTGCCTGTGAGGGTGGCGGGACTGAGAGAAGGGCCATCCTCAAAGGTACCTTGAATTCTAGTTGATTTGAAAAACTGGAGGGAAGTTAGGGGAAGTTCTATTTCTGGTTTTATATTGTACTACTAAAATGCAACAGATTGACTAACACATTTGTATTATTAATATTACATTACTGTATTGGCCTGAATATAAGCTGCACCCCCCCCCAATTCTGCCTGCACAGCTTATATTCGCGACCATATGCTGCTGGCAAAGTGGCACAGCTCCCCCCTGGAAGCAGCCCAGATATTGTCTTTTTTTCTTTTCCCCTCTTCAATTTTAAAGGTGCAGCTTATTTGTGGGTGCGGCTTATATTCGGGCCAGTACGGTACATGTCAAGAGGTGGGATAGGTGCAGTGGGTTCTTGTTTTAGAGAGATGATTGCCCAGTCCAGCCCTTTGTTTCATCTACTAGTCAGAATGTTATGACTATGAGCAGCAAGCCATTTACTCTCAATCTCGTTAAAGACCATCGGACATTTGCAGTGGGTTGTGGATGACAACATAAATCATGAAGGTTAAATTACTGAAATACATTATTCTATACAGATTACAAAATTGGAAGGATATCTTAAGAAAGCAACACAACAAATGCAACATAAACAGCAAGTGCAACAGTAAGCAACATTTTAATTATTAGCCTGACCACTTAATTGTTGATAGTATGGGGTAAAGCCGTTTTGTGTACTTCTTGGGAAATAATTCGTTATAGAAAATATTACACTGGATTGGATGGAATTTTGGTATGATACAACAGAAATAATGCATCCTTAAATGGAAAAGAAATGTATTGAATCCCATCAACATTCAAGTACAGTCTCATGAGAGTTTTATTTTTTGTGTGCAGTTTTCAAAATCAACTGCAAAATTGCTTCATTGGGATCCAGATAATATATATGTGTGTGTGATCTGATGGAATTGTTTGCTTATCATTGATAGCAACTTTAAAAGTTGCAATCCCATGTCCACTTAACTGTAAGCACCATTGAACCCCGTAGGCACATTTCTAAGTAGGCATGTAAAGGATTGTACTGTAAATCTCTAAAGGAATTATTAACCACTGAATTATTCATAAAGGTATTTGAAGAATGCAGATATGCTTGTAGCCTGTTAGAAAAAAGGACAAATGGCATGAGATCTTATATAGTTTCATATAAGATAGAAGTTCACTCCAAAAAAAGCTTTAATAGGGTATAGTTTTACATAGAGATGCTGCAGTATTCTGCTGTTTATAACTAAACAAATTAAATATAACATGGCAAGCTTAGTGGTTTAAAAAAATCTTTAATGGTGTTTTATTTTAACATTTAGCAGCTTTCAATCTCAAATCAGTAGGTCTTCACCAATGGAAACAGATTATGTGCCGTCTTCAGTGAGGAAAGTAAGTGTCCTTCTCTTTTCTCTGTCAAATTAGGTGTAATTAGGAATCTTCCACTCTAATTCCCAGATAGATAAAGTGATGTGTCAGCAGGGAGAGTGGCTTCAGTATGAGGGGATACTCAATTTAGGCAATAGCAACGTATGGGTTTGTGCTTAGGGGTGACACTGTGGAATAGGTTTTCTCCATGTGGGTCTCTTTACATTACCTTACATATTCCAATCTTCTTTTCCTGATCCCATTTGCACTTGGATTGTGAACATTCAGGAAGGGGCTTGTCACCTTAGTAGCATTGAGAAACAAGAGTTACAATGAGACTGTGAAATGAGCTTTGTAATTGCTCTTCTTCAGGAGGGTTTAAAACCTTGCCTTCCATTCTGTCTTCTGTTCTGCTGGCTAATTGTTTTGCTTAGTGCTGTTTATTCCATTTATTGTTTTTGCAAATTTTTATTGCAATTTTTTATTTTATTTGTTTTACTTTTTTGCACAATAGCTTGAGCCTCTTGGAAGGTGGTTAACAGATTATTTTAGTAAATACAGAATAGGTTAATAAGGCACTTTATTGAATTTAAGTAGTACAAGTTAATACTATCTCTCCTTGTCAAGAAACAATCAAATTACTGGCAAGCAAAAATGCCCATGATACAGCAACAGTTTGTTTTAAAAACTGAAATTATTTCCTATGTTTTTACATATTATACTGTCAATTTTTCTAAATACATCTAGACTGAATCAGCTGCTGGACCAACCAGGATATCATTGATAAGCCCACCTCAGAATGGACATATGGGTAAGAAGATATCATGACCAATTTTTAAAAGCTGAGTAGGAATAGGTATAATTAAGCTTGCACCCTGATAATGGTTTTGTTCATGCACACCTACCACTACTTGCTACCCTTGAGGATGGGACAAGGTAGAAGGTAGCTGAGATGATATTTTAAACACTCAAAAATTCCTTGAGGGTTTTCAGGAATTCAGACTGAATACTTGAAGGATCCAATTCCTTTTAGAGAATCATGAAAAAATTTGTTCACCCAGCTCTAGAATAAATGTCTAACAACCCTACATTCTGTTCAAAGGGTAGCTTGGCTAGTCTGCCCAATACTTAGTATCTTAAGGCTGACATATATGGTATAAAGTTTACCTAATCTTAGTATCTTAAGGCTGACATGTATGGTATAAAGTTTACCTAAGATTCATACAGGTGAAAAGTTTTCAGACTTTTCTAATAAATATAGTGCTTTGGACTACGTAAATTTCAATTTCTAATTGTTGTGGAAGAAGCACTGTTCTCATTTTCATCATATGTAGAAGTATTTTAATAAATTTGATCCATCAGTATATAAGCGAGGTCCAGAGGAACATATAGTTAGGAAGATAATAAAAAAACAAATTATAGAAAAATAATATAGGAGTAGATCATGTTTGTTTGTTTTTTAATGTTATCATTGGATTTGTAACTTTTTACAAAACCATGGCCCATTTGTAATGGTAAAAACATTGTTGCTGAAAGTTTGACTGTCAATCATCTTGCTGGCTTCAAACGTAATAGATAATTTCGAGTAATCCAAAGGATACATTGACATTTCACTTTTTCAAGAGGTATATTATATTTATGTGTTTCTGGATATGTGCTTTCAAAATAATGTAGTATGCCATCTAAATTCTTTCATGTTCTAATATATTCAGGAATGTTATTTACAGGTAGTGTTACATGGAGAGGTTCTCAATTGTCTGGAATGACTTCTTCTCAAAACAGTTCATCAGGCTCTGTAAGGTAACTAAAACCAACTTAGCAGTAAGAGTCAACTTTTGAAACGCAAGGGGCATGTTTTCCACCTTGGGCTGCGACCCATACCCCTTATGCAGGACTGTGAATGCGGGGCGTTGGATTGAGTGGAGGCATCCCTCCACTCAATTTTGCCAGCCAGTAGCGCAAGCCTCTCCCTTCTGCCTGCCCACAGTATCCACATCAAGAGAGCCTGGTGGTTGGACCGAAAATGGGGTGTTCCGAGGACACCTGCCCAGGACCCCAAGCTACTCTCACAGTCAATCCTGGCTGGCATAGGGCCTGATCTTGGCCCTGTTGCTTCACCAGCCTGAAGCTGGCCCAGGGATCAGACCCAATCTGTCTGCCACTCACTCGTCTGTGAGTTGCCAGGCTGTGGGTGCATCAATAGCTGTGCAAAGCAGCGGTGAACAACTTGGATTGAAGATTTATTTATTTATTTATTTATTTATTTAACACCTTTCCTCATAAGATCTCAGGGCGGTTCACATCTAGGAATTTTGTTTCTCCAAAGAAAAAAGTTATCATTCAAATTGGCCTCTGTTTTCAAATATATCCTGCTTGAAATTTTTATTTGTGAAATTTTTATTTATTGTGTTAAATATTAATAAAATGTTTACTTGGTTGAAAACGAAGTCCTAATCTTTATATCTCCCTTCTTTTTTATTCTGACGGAATGAAACTTCCAAGAATACATTCACCAAATATGTGGAATGTACCTTGGTAATTTTTTTCTCTTGAGGGGTATCTCCTAACAGTACAGTACAACCTCTGCTTACAATCATAATCCGTTCCGGAGGCCCGTCGGCTGGGCGAAACCAGACACTAGTAGAGGTGCCATTGTGCGCATGCACATTCGGCGACAGCATGCTTCTGCGCATGTGTAGAGGTGGCAGCCGCTTGCGTGCACACGCAGATGGCAGAAGCCGCTTCTGCACATGCACGAATCGCGGCAAACCCAGTGTTTACTTCTGGGTTTGCCACGGTCGCAACTTAGAACGTCTGCGAGGCGGATGTAATTTATTACTTTTTCGTTTTGTCCTTTCCATAATACACAAAGTTTCCTAAATGTTTAATGGTCTATAAATGTAGCAAATAAACAATAAAAGTCATGCCTCTTGCTAAACAAAAATGTACATCCTGCTAGAACTGATTATACAATAGGCCTACCCTTCTCAATATGAGATATAGACACTGTCTTGTCCTTCTACTTTTTAGGTCATTGTCCTTAAGAATGCCAAATAGGGAGACTTCTTATATGTCACCATTCGTATCAACACAAAATAATAGAGATCAAACGCCAGATGGATTTGGACAAAGAACTATGCAGCATTATCGATGCACACCAACACCTTCACTCTCATCAGTGACAAGACATCCGATCAGCCTTCCCAATCTTTTACAAAGGCAGAATTTAGGTAAGCTAGGTTAGTGAGTGACAGAAATGACCATATCAAAAATTAAATTTATATTTAGTGTAAAGTGCACTGTACAGTGGTACCTTGGGTTAAGAACTTAATTCATTCTGGAGCTCCGTTCTTAACCTGAAACTGTTCTTAACCTGAGGTACCACTTTAGCTAATGGGGCCTCCTGCTGCCGCTGCGCTGCCAGTGTGCAATTTCTGTTCTCATCCTGAAGCAAAGTTCTTAACCCGAGGTACTATTTCTGGGTTAACGGAGTCTGTGACATGAAGCATCTGTAACCTGAAGTGTCTGTAACCCGAGGTACCACTGTATTGATTTGTTGGGGCAGTAATACCACTGTGTGAGCCTGGCAAGCAATTGCCTTCTGAAAATAATACAAGCTAGGCTATCATCCTGTGGTCCCTGGAGTGGGGGCAACCTAGAGCCCAAAGGATAGAACACTGCTCCCTCTGTATATCATCAGGAGAGGCCCATGGGCAGAGGAGAAGGTCCATCCTGGCAAACCTCCTTGTGGCAAGTGCAACAGCAAAAAAGGGGGATACCATGGGTGGATTAGGAGGAGGCTTTTCTAGATCCCCTGACACACAAATAGACCCTGAATAGGGAAGGGAAACACAATAGCTTTGGAGACAGAGTACTTATTTTTATTCCAATCAATCAATCAATCAATTTAGTTCAACAATTTATATACAGTGGTACCTCGGGTTACATACGCTTCAGGTATATTTGGAGAAATATATATTAAATGACAGTTGCAGATGGGTAGCCGTGTTGGTCTGCCATAGTCAAAATAAAAAAATCCTTCCTGTAGCACCTTAAAGACCAACTAAGTTAGTTCTTGGTATAAGCTTTCGTGTGCATGCACACTTCTTCAGATACACGGTTGATGGACTTCCATTTCATGCGGCTCAATGTGGTGCCTTCCATGGTTCCAGTTGCAGATGGGTAGCCGTGTTGGTCTGCCATAGTCAAAATAAAAAAATCCTTCCTGTAGCACCTTAAAGACCAACTAAGTTAGTTCTTGGTATAAGCTTTCGTGTGCATGCACACTTCTTCAGATACACACATTTATACAATGTGTATAAATGTTCAGATACAATGACATTTTATGATGTCAAAATTATATCTGGCATTGGCCACATGCAGAATTGATGCTACTAAAATGCGAACCTTCCTATTTTTAGTTTGAAAGCGAGTTTTTAAGAATTTGTGGCTCAATATGATTTTTTCCATTTTCAGTTTATTTGCTATTGTGATAATTAATGTGTATAAATAATGCATTTAATTTTGGGTAATGACATTTATTCTAGTTTTAAATCTCTCCTTTTATAGGTTCCACTAGTCTTCCGGGACATTCATTACACCTGCAAACGCCGTTCAACAGAGAACTCATCCGCTGAATATTTTAAAATGTATATAAAAATATATATAAAGATTCATACCACTGTACAGTATCTGGCTTGATTAAAACGTTAATTTTTTTGTCATTGCTTTTTATTGTGCTATTCCTTCGGAGAAAACAAAACTACAGTATTTTGCTACTGTGAAGCGCTTTATTCCATTTGTGAGACCTTGCCCTTCATCACTGGTTAAAGTTCCTCAAGAAGACTTGCTAAGTAGGCTGGAAATATTATTAACATTTCCTTGAGAGGAGGGAGAGCAGGGAAGTGAAGGAGTGTCCTCTCCTCCTTTGCCAGACCCTGCTCCTCTCTCCACCACCATGGCAAAGCAGCTCCAGTAACTCACCCCTCACTGGAATAGAGAGAAGTGAGTCATTCTTGCTCCCTGCACCCCAATCAGTTGTACTGAACTCATTGGGTCTTATTCCTATGTAAGTGAACATTAGCATTGCAGTCCTAGATGACTGCCCATCATCATTTATTTTAATAATCAGAAGGTATGTTCACACATCATACTAAGTCAGGCTTGCTGGTTCGTTGATCCGGCTTGAACAGTATGCTGATGCTTGTTAGCTCCTGCTTTGCTCGCACCCCTGGTAAAAGCGGAGAAACAAAGCAGAAAACCTCCATTAAACTGGATGTGTCTGGCCAGGCTCTAGAAGGTGCCGCTTAAAGGTAGAGCTCATTCAGACCTCACCTTTCAGGATACAAGTCCTTACAAGGCGGCTTAGAGGTAAGAAAGATACATGAATGAAACCACATTAAAATATAGCAATTCATCAGGATCCTTCTTATAAGGGCTTTGACCACCAGCTGCCCTGTGGAAAAGGGTTAAAGATTAGTTGGAATTGGCTCTGATGTCATCTTTGCCCACCCCCACCCCAATTATTTGCTGGGATGTATTTTTTTAAATTTACGGTACTTCACAGCTCATTATTAGAACCTTCATTTTTGAGTGGACCTGTTAAGCTTTCCAAACTTTTAATGTTGGTGGCACACTTTTTAGACATGCATCATTTCGTGACACAGTAATTCAGTTTTACTAGCAAACCAGAAGTTAAACTAATCCCTTTCCAGCCCTGGGAGCGTTTGTGTGACACATCTGCAGACTGCAACCGACACACTAATGTATCACGTCACACTAATGTATCACAACACACAGCTTGGAAAGCTCTGGGCTAGTCTAATTGTCAGCAATTGTGGATATTGTAGTTAATTCACATTTGTTCACCCAGGATAAAAAAGATGATGTGTGAATTTGGACATGGCTATCAAATTAAAATACAAGATCTCCATCTGAACTTACTTGGAGATTAGAATGTTTGTCCTAAAAGGGGTAGGGGGTAACAAAACCTTAAAAAATTAACCTGACAATGAAAATGCAGAACTGGCCAGTTTCAGAGGCGGTTTGGTTTCATTGGGAAAATCTTAGTGACCTGCTATTTGTTAATCCTCTGTTACATTAAAGCTTGTTGATACGCTGAGAACTTTAGCTTTTAAGCAAACATGTTTTTTTAAGTGACTGGATGCTGTTATGGCCTCTCCAGTTTGATACAGATACCTTCAGACTTCTCCTTTTGCAAAAGCTATTTAACACTGCAAAGTATGCAGACTTGTTACCATCATAAAAGTTTGTGAACATACATTACAACCCTGTATCTACTTAGAAGTAAGTAATAATGAGCTTACTCTGAGGCATTCCTTTACCTAGGAGTAAATCACATTGAGCACAAGTATATTTCTGGGAGTCATATATACTGTATGTAGGAAGCAGTGTAGAATTTTTTTATGTGTACTTAGCAAAGTTCTGAGAGAAAGGGGTTTAGATATTTTGTATTAAGAAATCCTAAATGTCTGAACAAACATTTAGTTTTATCCAATCTAGAAAGTAAAATAAAGCAGCCATGTCTAATTTACCCTGTTCAGTAAAATGCCCCTCAAATCTGGGCCTTTTTAATTCTATCAGTTATGAACGTGAGTAAGGTGCTGCAGGATTGGCAAACACATTTTAAGAAGGAATAATAGCTATTAAAGACTAATTTAACTTCTCCAAATCTTCCATGCCTCATCCATAAAAAGAAGTTATTTATTTATTTATTTTAATTTTAATTTTTTTACAAACGGAGCCTATGGGTGGAATTCAACATTGCACTAAGGTGATTGTTCCATCAATGCAAGTAGTTCTGCGTGGCAGACAGAACAATCTCCCTGCCCCTCCGGTGTGTTTGTGCAGATCTTGTCCTCCAAAACTGACTTTCCAGCACAATCAATGTGCATAGCACAACCCAAAACAGTGAGCAAAACTCTTGCATTAATGTAAGTAGCTCTGCTGCTGCTTAAAGCATTGGTCCTCTTCCATATGGATCATTTCTGACAATAAGGCAACAACAGTTAACACAAAATTATGGGTGGCGTTACTGGCACACTATGGCTGTAATCCTAAGCACACTTAACAGTTATTTCTTTAGTAGGATATATAGCTTTCCACCCCTGCAATATACTTCCCAGAGTGGTTAACAAAGGGTGCTTCCAGATGGATGGCTAGGGTTCTCCTTGTGCATGCAAGTTTCTTTCAGGAACCAAAGGATGCCATTGGCAACAAAATAAGAGCCTGCATTCTCACCCCATCCCATATAAACAGAAATGAACCTTTCTATGGGAATCCAATAAGTGGATATATGAATGCCAGAAACCTGTTTCATATCTTACTTGATACACTTTCAAATTCTAGAGCACATTCTTAAACTCTATAATGCTTGTTTCACAGAGTTCCCAAATAATACCAAAAGAAGAAAGGATGCACTCTGCTATAATTACTTAAAGAGACAAGGAGCTACTTAATGGAATGGTTTCAGGCTGCTTTTCTCTCCCTACAGGGCCTTGGGTGTTGCAATGTCATTTCCAAGTGATTTTTCCCCTGAGAAAGCACCCAGCTCAGCCAATATTGTGTAATTCATATTTTCATAAAATGGGACTGTTCCAAGTCAGAGGCTTAATTGGGTGCATAGTGTACAAGTTCCTGTGATTCAGAATTGCTAGGTCCTCCAATATATCTTTATAGTGCAACTATTGGTTATGCAGAACCAATCTGTCTCTTGAAAGGGAATGTGACAAGACCGAGGCAGCCTACAAGAGTAAAGCATGGCCAAGAAAAAGCCGCGTTTTGTGGAAAATATAGACAATATTTTAGCTACAACTCAAACAAAGGAGAATGAGGAGCTGCTGTTTACATTCAGAGGAGTGCTGTATCCAAAACGCCTTTGTAGTCTTGAGACCTTTGAAGCAGTGGCAGCCATGGAAGCTAGGAAGGACGATAGGCTGATTGTTGCTTATCCAAAATGTGGTGAGTATCCAACTTTTAATGGAATTAAAGAGGAATGGATTGGGTTACCAATTGCTATCTGATCACATGCGATTCATATGTTTATTTCCCCCATGTAACCTGGATTTACAGTTTCCATGTTTTGTTGTGCTTTTCATAAACGGGGATTTTGAATGCAAAACCTGCAAACCTGAGCAGCTGACTCCACAATGAACAATAAGCTGTCGTGTGGAAGTGCCGTCTATTAAAGTTTGAACAAGGAAACCAGTGTTTTTTTGATACCCAAAATGAACTGAAATGGGTCCCAGGTGAATATATTTTGGGGTGCCTGGATTCCCTCTTTCCTCAGTGGCTGAGTACCCCACAACAGCCATGAGCAGCGACTCAAGGCCCTCTTTTATGTGGAGAGGAGATGTGTGCCTCATAAGTCCTTGGAGTCAATCCTCCTGTTGGAAAAAATGCCCACCCGGGAGGGTTGACAGCTTCCCAGAGGCCTTTTCTCCAGAGGTCACTCTCTGGCTAAAATCCATCTTCAGTCCAGAGAGACCGGTGATAAGCAATCCTTCCCTTCTGAGAGGAACACACTAACAATCTTCTGGCAATCCATCACAGAAGAAAGATAACAGTCCGTAGTCTCACAGCTACTTTATTTGACTGTACAAAACATGGCTGCTCACCCACGCAGTACAGCATGAGAGTCTGTGACTCGACACTGCTTCAGTCCAGAAGCAGAAGGCACTCTCAGTAACTCCACCCTGTTACACTGAGAACTGCCAGAGAACTGGTTGAGACTTCCTGTCTCATGCTCAGGCATATCAGACACATCACATGATGTAAAAAATCCAGCTGCCTCTTCGCAGCTGGTGGGAACTAAAATCCCAACACCTCCATGTGGCTCAGTGAGGCCTCTGAATTGGAAAGGATAGTCTCTTCCAAAGCCAGGCAGCATGTTACCAACAGCAGGTGGGGAGGAGGCTGTGGGAAGGCTGGGCTGGGGTCAAGTGGGAAGGAAGCTCTCTCACATAAGAAGAGGGAATAAAAGACTGCAGTCTCCAGGGTCAGCCAAGGGGCTTGCATGGTGGCAACAGCCATTTAATCTGGATTTATCATGTCCATGTTTTATTGTGCTTATCAGAAATGGTAAATGGGGATTTTGGATGCCGTTGAAAACCTACATGCGTGAGCACCTTTGTCCTCAATGAATAAGCTGTCATTTGGAAGTACCTTCTGTTGCAATTTGACAAACAAACCTTGCATGGTGTCTATGGCTTTGTTGTGACACTTGGTGTGGTCTTGTGACCCACCTGCGGGTCCCAACCCACTGGTTCAAAATCTGTGATTTAAGCTGACTGGCATACATGATCATAACTTTGCATTTGGTTGCGTAACTTACGCTCCAGCAAACCATATATGTCTTAATTGCTTTTATGTTGTAGGTACTAACTGGATGCTCAAAATAGTAAATGACATGATAGCTGTGATTCCAAGTTACAAGGACTTACCACCACTCGAAAACTGCCCAATACTTGAATTTGGACCGCCCACAAAACTTCAGGTTGGCATGATTTCCAAGTTACTCTAGCAAATGATCAGTGCTTACATGTGCCACACAGAAGGTGGACACTTTACAGCTATTACATGTGATTGTGTAGCATACATAAGAGATAGAGTTAGATTTGTTGAACACTGATGCCAATTTTTGATAAACACAGAAAATATACTTCATTTATATCAAGTTTTAATATACCTCTTTTCATTAAAAATCAATTTACAAATGGAAAGCAAAATAGAATATGCATGTCATCCTATGTTCCTCAGAGGACATAACCATTTACTTGATGGAGGTGCTTCTCAAAAACAGTGAATTATCCCTAATATCTGTACTTTCTGCATTTCATTTCCCCCTGACACCGCTATTTACAGCCACGCCACTCAAGCCTGTATACTGTAAATATAATTGCAACTCAGGATAACAATGTATCTGAATCTCATGCTAAAATCTGTTAGTTTTTAAGGTGTGATGGGGAAGATTTTTGGGGGGGGGACGTGGGTGGCGCTGTGGTCTAAACCACAGAGCCTAGGACTTGCCGATCAGAAGGTTGGCGGTTCAAATCCCCACAACGGGGTGAGCTCCCGTTGCTCGGTCCCTGCTCCTGCCAACCTAGCAGTTCGAAAGCACCTCAAAGTGCAAGTAGATAAATAGGTACCACTCCGGCGGGAAGGTAAACGGCGTTTCCATGCGCTGCTCTGGTTCGCCAGAAGCGGCTTAGTCATGCTGACCACATGACTCGGAAGCTGTACGCCGGCTCCCTCGGCCACTAAAGTGAGATGAGCGCCGCAACCCCAGAGTTGGTCACAACTGGACCTAATGGTCAAGGGTCCCTTTACTTTTTTAGGGAAGTTTTTAATGTTTGGTGTTTTATTGTGTTTTTAATATTCTGTTGGGAGCCACCCAGTGTGGCTGGGGAAACCCAGCTAGATGGGCCGGGTATAAATAAATGATGATGATGAGTCATCATTTTTGCTGCAAAAGGCTAACCCGGCTATTCCACTGGGAATCCTTGCTACTAATATTCCTGTGCTTCCATGATGGGGGGAGATGACTTTAATAAGTTTATGAGGTAAATTGGGGGTAGGAGTGAGTATTTAGAATCATAGATTTGTATAATTGTAGTACTACTACTACTACTACTACTCCAAACCCATTGTTTATTTCGTTGTTTTCTATTTTAATCATGTAACTCAAAGTACTAATCCCCCCCCCAATTATATGAATCAATAAAAAGGAGGAAATAACAACTTCCCTAGATCCTGAAATGACAACAACAGATCAACATTCCTTTAATTCTCATTCCAGGAGCTGGGAAAGCAGCCTTCTCCGCGCATTATTTCTACACATCTCCATTATGATAACATTCCCAAATCTTTTATTGAGAAAAAGGTGAAGGTAAGTGATTAGGCTCCTATGAGATATTGAAGGAGTCTCCTAAAACCTGTGTGAGAGGCTCTCTCCCAGAGCCCAGCAAGCAAGAATGAGAGCATAACAGCTCTCTGCCTTGCATGGGGGCCAATGGCCTGCTTGATGCTCCAGCCATGGAAGGTTTGGGGTGTTTACACATTTCTGGGGTTCTGAGGTTCTGGGGTTGTTGTGGCTACACAAGATTTCAGCTTCACATGCAATTCTCGGAACCTAACCCCTGCGCAAGTTGCTAGTCAACTGTAGTTCATATCACCGGATGACATAACTTGCTTTAAGCAACAAAATCTAATATCTCTTTCTTTCTTTTAAAATAGATGCTGGTCTTATTCCGAAATCCCAAAGATGCTGCTGTATCCTATTACCATTTTTACAACAAAAACCCTATTCTTCCAGATGTTGGTTCTTGGGATGATTTTTTTCCAAAGTTCATGAATGGCGAAGGTATATCATATTAGAAGTTCTCACTTTCTGTATTTCTGAAACTTCCCACAAAGTATTTGTGTACAATGTCTTTTCAGATGACATTGGGTTTCAAATGAGCAGGAAAAAGCCCACAGTCGATGTTTCTTTTACTCAGACTTGCATCATCTGTTGATAATGAGATTGTGTTGTTGTTGTTATTATTATTTATTAGATTATATATTGCCCTTCGTCACAAGGTTTTAGGGCGGTTCATATTATATAAAAAACTGGAATCTTACAGTGGCACAGAGGGCTATTGCCTACCACAAAGGAGGAACCCAATTAATTTGAAGGAGTTTTAGAGCTCAGACTGATTTCCCCCCCCCCCATGTTTCTAATTTCAGATTAGTCAACGCTGAACATACTTATGCAGGATTTTCCCCATGACATCAGGACTTCTGCAGCAATCATATCATTTGTTTTAAGAGCTTAACAAATGGCAAATTCTAAATAGTCACAACCACCTTTGTTTTGTGACCTGTCCATTTCAAGAGATACACGCACATTGGTCTCAATAACTGGACAACTTAAAAATAGTCAACAACCTCAGCAAGCAAAGCTCTGGCTGCACTTGCCCTCTTCTGCATGTATAATATCCCTTTTCTTGAGACATTTTATACCAACCCTTTAGTATAATAGGTATAGATGACCCTCGTGTCCCTTTCCAATTCTACAATTGCATGGTTCAATCATAAGAATGAATATTATGTTCATTTATATGAGCAGCAACAGTTTTAAAAAGCCTTGCAGACAGGCCACATATGGTAAAAGACATTCCCCTCACCCTTCTTTCTATTCCCTTAGTGGCCTAGGCACCTACAGAAGTTCAGTGGCAGCATCTCTGTCATATGCAGAAGGTTCCAGGTTTAATCCTCGGCACCTCCAGGTTCGCTTGTGGAAGAGCCCGTCCGAAACCCTGCCGATTCACGGCCAGTCATAAATGCCAAAGTGAATTTAGGCCTCCTTTCAATTTCTGATAATTTGTGTACAGATTTTACATGTCATGAAAATAGCTCCAGTGTTGGGTTAAAGCGAATGAATGAAGCGCTGTACCTTTGTTCTCGAACAGAATCCTTTCCAGAAGTCCGTTCAACTTTTGAAAAAGTTCGCAAACCAAAGCGCGGCTTCCGATTGGCTGCAGGAGCTTCTTTCACTCAATCGGAAGCCTTGTTGGACGTTCAACTTACAAAAAACGTTCGCAAACCAGAACACTCACTTCCGGGCTTGCGGCGTTCGGGAGTCAAAACGTTTGAGTCACAAGGCATTCGAGAACCAAGGTACAACTGTATTCTCATTGTAATGATATGTGGAGCTTTTGCCAGAAACTGATGTCTCTCCCCCCCCCCCATGCTTTGAAATATGCTGTTTGCATTTTATTTCAGTTTGCTGGAAATCCTACTTTGACTATATCCTTGCTTGGGACAAACATGTGGATGAAGAAAATGTCATGATCATCACATATGAAGAGCTGAAAGAAGTGAGCATTCTTAGAAACTGAGATAATGATTTCACTTTTCTTCTGTTATGGCTACTATTAAGTATGAGTATTTTATTCTATGTGTATATTTCTCTTTTGTTAGCAGGTTTGGATATTTAAATGTCTTAAAATATTTTTTTTAAAAAATATGGTCCTGCAGTTCATTAAATACTAAGTTTAGTGGTGTAAACTCTTTCAAGTGTACATATTCATAGGTTTGCACTTAATTTATTTGTGGTTTTTTATAGTTTATTTGGGACTTTGAATAACTAAGTTTATTTTTTAATTAAAAGGAATATGGCTGATTGAATATATGACACATTGGAAATGGAAAAGATCCGTAGCAGATATTTGGGGGGGAAAGTGCTTTTCAAGAATCTAAGTTACAGAAGCAAATAGAAAATTAAATGATGGTACCTTTGCTGTGACAATGTTTCAGTGTTTCCTTTCACACTTATTTTGCTAATATCAGATGCACCTCTTTAGGAAGCTATAGCACATACATTTATGAATATATTTAGGTGTTTAGCCTGCCCAATTCTTGAGTCTTAGGGCAGATTCTAACTTAGAAATCTACCTTTGTACCAAATATATTTATGAAATCATAACTAACTTTACTGTTATTTTCCAGAATCTTCACGAAGGAGTGAAGCGAATAGCTGAATTTTATGAGCTACCTCTGTCTGATGAAATGATTAAGTCTGTTGCAGAGAACTCTACCTTCCAAGCAATGAGCAGTAAATCTGAAGAAACACATGGTCGGTTTGCTCCTGTCCTTTTCAGGAAAGGTACTGCAGTACTGTATTGATTTTATGCCACTTCTTTACACTGAATTCTATTTCTTCCAGTAACACAAGCGCCCTCTAGGGGTGCCGTTTATGGGGGGTGGCGGGACAACTAAACATTATATTTTGTCAATATCTTGAAAATAGTTTTGATCCATTTCCCTCTTCCTCACTCCCATCCTACATATAGAACCAAAGTTCAAAAACATTGAGAACCCCTATAAAGCCTCTGTAAGACCATTTTGCTATAATTAGAACAAGGAAGTCTTCTAGTCCAGAAGAGTTTGCACTTGTCATATTTTAAATAGTCTGCAAAAGTAGGAGTTACTTGTGCTGTGACATCACAGTTTTCTGCATTCTCTCCTATTAATAATAATAATAATAATAATAATAATAATAATAATAATAATTTATTTATACCCCGCCCATCTGGCTGGGTTTTCCCAGCCACTCTGGGCAGCTTCCCACAAAACACTAAAATACAATAACCTATTAAACATTAAAAGCTTCCAACTATGTAGCGTAAGAGGCATAAAAACCATGAGCCCAGGGCAGCTCATGTTTTATTATGTCAATAATCAAACAAGACAGTTAAAACTGTGAATAGTGGTCTAAGTGATCTGGGAGTTGGGCATCCTATTGAACTTGAAAGGTTCTAGGTGGACAAGCATAGGACTGCACAGTGGGATAGATGCAATTCAGTGGGGCTTATTTCCAAGTAGGCTGGGATAGAAATAATGCCTAAGTATTATGACTGTAAACAGATTAGTCACAGTAGAGTTTCCACATGCCATGTTTTAAATAGGCCAAATCAGCTGTTTATAACAAAGCAGCTTCTGCAAAAGTGGGAGTTACCTGTGCCATGACATCACAGTTTTCTGCATTGTCTCCTGCCAATAATTGCCAGTTATGTAGATTAAGAAGCATAAAAGCCATGAGCCAAGGGCAGCAAATAATGAAACAGTACAGTTAAGAAATTAAAAAGCAGTTTCAAACAACTTCTGAAAACAGTTTTTAAAAAATTCTAAGCACAGTGGACTGCACTCCACAATCTGCATCCGGTTCAGGAATATTAGTGTTAAGTTTGCTAGTATTAAAAATGTTAGCACTTGGGTGAGGCTTGGAAATTACAATATGTGGGTCAAGGAACACAGAACAAAGCAGATCCAGGGATGGAACTGGAGCCAGTGGCATAGCATGGGGGGCCCACAGAGGCAGTTGCCCTGGGTGCAAAATTCTTAAAGGTAAAGGGACCCCTGACCGTTAGGTCCAGTTGCGGACGACTCTGCGGTTGCGGCGCTCATCTCACTTTATTATTTTGAACTGCTAGGTTGGCAGGAGCAGGGACTGAGCAATGGGAGCTCACCCCGTCATGGGGATTCGAACCGCCGACCTTCTGATCGGCAAGCCCTAGGCTCTGTGGTTTAACCCACGGCGCCACCATTTCCACTTTTCACTCATCTGAGCTCTTGAAGCTGCTGAACCGCAGCTGCACCTCAGAGAGAGAAGCCACTCAGCATCCTCCTTCCCTGGTGTGCCCCCCCCGCCTCCGCCATTCCCCTACAGCCACAGGAACCTGATTCTGCCTCAGAATTGAAGCTGTGTGGCGGCGGCAGCACCTGCATGGTGTTTAAGGTGGCATGGAAGGAATCCCCTTTTTAAAACTTCCTCTTCTCTTCTTGCACCCCTTGTAGAGGCAGGTCACCACTCCCCCCCCCACTCTCTGGCCATCCCTCTGCACCGCAGCTAAAAAAAAGCCCCTCTGTGCTTTTGCAGTGAAGCACCACAACTCCAGAACTTTGTGTGCCCCCTTAAGAGAGCCTAGTTCACTTAATAAACCCGCCCACATATTGAGGGATGTGTGGGGTGTGCTGCTGCCTTGTCCCAGGTGCTAGCAATCCACACTACGCCATTGGTTGGAGCTCAGAACCAAATAGTTTTCAGAGAATCTAGAGGCTGGATGGCTTGCGGCAGCTCCAGGCAGGGAGATGGTTACAAAACTGTCCATTATCTAAGAGTAACAAAGTTAACCAAGGTGAGGAAACTGGTCTTTCCAACTTTCTTTGCCAGCAACTAACCTAAAAGTGAAATATTAAACTGCCAACACCCAATCTAATACACCCCTAGCCTTTGCTTCTCTCAAAGATATTCCGCAAGGCAGCTGAGGTTTAGGATCAGAGTATTCCTTCTCCTAGATGGGCTTCCTTCCCAGGTCAACAAACCCAATCTGCCTCTCACTTCCTTCTACAGCACATGCAGAAACCGCCACCTCGACCATTGGACCCACTGTTGGTCGCATCTGCTTATATACCCCTCAGTTGTTTCTGTCACTCGCTGTTAACATCTCCAGATAGCCCCAATCTGATGCATGTTAGTAATGTCTTTCCTTCGTTACACCCAAGCAAGTGTGCCTGGGGTTGCAGAATGAGACAGATGACAATACATTCACTTGTTTCAACACTCAGAAACCATAAATCTGATATCTGAATCTCTATACAAGGAAGGCATAAAGAGTGAGATTCATTTTTCATTGTTTCTTAATAGGTGCTGTGGGTGACTGGACGACTTTGTTCACTGAAGCTCAGAGCCGGGAAATGGATGCAAAATTTGAAGAGTGCTTGGCAGGAACTAAACTGGGTGCAAAGCTAAAATATGACCAATATTGTAAATTTTAAACCTTTGGATTTGGAGGTTATTATCTGAAGCCTTTCGGTTAAGAATAAAATAATGTTTAAGTACTAGATACATTTATGCACGGGGAAAAAATATTCTCAGTCTTTTTTGCTTTTAGGTCATGTACTCAAATTATAACATACTAAATGGGAAGAACATGAAGATGTGCTATGAAATAATTTTGCGGCAGTGATCTCTTCTATTCTTTAATGACTATGTCCTATTTCATATCCTATTCTTCTCACTCCTATTGTGGAGCCAGTACCCACTGACCCATTTTGATGTACAATTCTGCTGAATTAGTTGAAACTGCTTTGGCCCTTTTCATATTTGCAGTGCTCACAGTCAGTGGCGGAGCTTCATGCTTTGGCACCAGGGGACGGAGAGCAGGCAGGGCGGGGCTGGCGAGCATCCTGGGGGCGGGGCACGCCGCCTGCGGGGCCTTGGTGCCCAGCGCAGGCTGGGCGATGGCACCCTGCTAAGATCGCACTGCCAGGGGTGGTGCGCTCCCCCCGCACTCTTCTTCTTCCGGCAGTGCTCACACTCACCTATTCAGTTGCAGCATTACCCAACTCCTTAAATGTTTACTTTTATAAACTCCTTCCTGTGTATATGTAGCCATAGGAAAGCTACATACATCTGTTGCATCTCCCCATATGTTTGTTGTTGTTGTTTAGTCGTCTAGTTGTGTCCGACTCTTTGTGACCCCATGGACCAGAGCACGCCAGGCACTCCTGTCTTCCACTGCCTCTTGCAGTTTGGTCAAACTCATGCTGGTAGCTTCGAAGACACTATCTAACCATCTTGTCCTCTGTCGTCCCCTTCTCCTTGTGCCCTCAATCTTTCCCAACATCAGGGTCTTTTCCAGGGAGTCTTCTCTTCTCATGAGGTGGCCAAAGTATTGGAGTCTCAGCTTCAGGATCTGTCCTTCCAGTGAGCACTCAGGGCTGATTTCCTTCAGAATTGATAGGTTTGAAAGATAACTATGAAAAATGTTGGTCGGAAATCAAAAAAGATTTAGAAATTTGGTCTAGACTGAAACTTTCCTTGTTGGGTCGAATTGCAGCTATAAAAATGAATGTATTGCCGAAAATGTTATTTTTATTTCAAACCCTACAGATTGTGGACAGAGTGGAATGTTTTGGAAAGTGGCAGAAGGATATCTCTAAGTTTGTTTGGCAGGGCAAAAAGCCCCGAATAAAGTTTAAAATACTAACTGATTCGAAAGAAAGAGGGGGGTTTGCCCTGCCAGACTTGAGGTTATATTATGAAGCTGCGGCCTTCTGCTGGATGAAGGATTGGTTACTTCTCGAGAACACTGATGTCCTAGATCTGGAAGGGTTCGACAATGCTTTTGGTTGGCATGCATACTTGTGGTACGACAAGGTAAAAATTCATAAAATGTTCAAAAACCATATTGTCAGAAGAGCAATATTTACGGTCTGGCTAAAATACAAAGACTTATTAGAAGGTAAGACCCCGAGGCCAAGGCCCGAAAAAGACCCAATATGGAGGCCAGCTGGCCGAAATATTGGGAAATAATAGAAAAAATTGGAGATAACTGGAGGTTGAAGAGCTTGGAGAAATTAAAGGGTAAGGTGTGAGACTGGTTACATTACGCTCAAATTCAAGAGGTTTTTAAACTGGACAAAAAAGTAGGGTTCCAGGAGGAAAAATCGAAACTAGAGACAGAATTGCTTGAACCAAAAACCAAGGTACTTTCGAGAATGTATAACTTGTTGCTTAAATGGAATACACAAGACGAGACAGTCAAATCAGCCATGATAAAATGGGCTCAGGATATCGGGCATAACATTATGTTTGAGGACTGGGAAAGGTTATGGACCACCGGAATGAAATTCACGGCATGTAATGCCTTGAAGGAAAACATTATGAAAATGATATATAGGTGGTACATGACCCCAGTCAAGCTTGCTAAGATATACCATTTGTCTGATAATAAATGTTGGAAATGTAAGGAGGCTGAAGGGACTTTTTTTCACCTCTGGTGGACTTGTCCAGAAGTGAAGGCCTTCTGGGAAGTGATTTACAATGAGTTAAAAAAGGTATTTAGGTATACCTTCCCCAAGAAACCAGAGGCCTTCCTCCTGGGCATTGTTGACCAGAAAGTGTCAAAGAAGGATAGAACTTTATTTATGTATGCAACTACAGCAGCAAGAATCCTTATTGCAAAACACTGGAAGACACAAGATTTACCCACACTGGAAGAGTGGCAGACGCAATTGATGGACTACATGGAACTGGCTGAAATGACTGGCAGAATCCGAGATTTGGGAGAAGAAAGAATGGAAGAGGACTGGAAAAAATTCAAGGACTATTTGCAAAAACATTATAAATTGTATGAGTGTTAAGAATGTGCACGATTTGGAAATTTTAGCTTCAGCAAATTGATTTGGTGAACTGGAAATTATGTTACAAATAAGACAAGGTGGAAATTTAAAATAACTTTATTATGGGTATCTTAAGGTACAAGTAACTGAGAAATAGCATCTTGAATTTAGAAACATAATATTTGAAAGATACAGTAAGGTATGAAACAAGGTAACAATTTGCTGATATCTTTATTGTAAAGGACGCAGGGTTTGGGAGATGTGGGGAAGTCCGGTTGGATTTGTAAAAAAGATTTGAAAAGTGGACTATTTTTACTTCTTTCTTTTTTTCGTTTTTGCCTTTTTCTTTTTTCTTATGTTTATATTTTTGACTTTGTATATGAAAATCCAATAAAAATTTATTTAAAAAAAACAAAAAACAGAATTGATAGGTTTGATCTTCTTGCAGTCCATGGGACTCTCAAGAATCTCTTCCAGCACCATAATTCAAAAGCATCAATTCTTCCGTGATCAGCCTTCTTTATGGTCCAGCTCTCACTTGTAGGGATGATTGCGGAGTGGGGAGTGGGGTCCGGAGGGAGCACACTTCCCCACCCGCAGGCAGCCTCAGCCTGCCTGTACGTGTGACCTTGGGGTGCGGAGCACACACACCCCTCACAGACAAAGCCACGGCTGTCTGAACATCATTGCCTCTGTCTACCCTTTTGCAGTCTCAGTAGTCTGCGGTGCCCTGTCTGTAACCGTTGTCTCTGAGACCTTTTGTCTCTTTCGTCATACACCGTGCAAGGGGAAAATGACGCGGTGGAAACAGGTGCCAAAATAACTTTGTACCACCCCACGATCTCGGGACCGGAAGATGTGTAAAGGTCACAGCCCAAAATGTATCTGCCTGGTTTGCATATTTGTCTCAATAAAAGGAGGCTCCACAGGGCTGGCCGGCAGCTTGCTTTCAGCTCACCTGTGCGCAGCTCACCTGCATTATCAACTCCTGCCTCATGTCCATCACTTCATCTGGCACCGAGGTCCATGGGGCTGGTTTTACTCACTTCGCTCGGCAAGAAGAAGAAGAGTTTGGATTTGATATCCCGCTTTATCACTACCCGAAGGAGTCTCAAAGCGGCTAACATTCTCCTTTCCCTTCCTCCCCCACAACAAACACTCTGTGAGGTGAGTGGGGCTGAGAGACTTCAAAGAAGTGTGAGTAGCCCAAGGTCACCCAGCAGCTGCATGTGGAGGAGCGGAGACGCGAACCCGGTTCCCCAGATTACGAATACTACCGCTCTTAACCACTACACCACACTGGCAAGAGCTACAGACGCGTCCCTGCATCCTCTACAGGATCCCAGTGAGTATTGGAAGGAAGGAACATGAGTATGGGGAGTTCCCTTTCTGCGCAACAGCTGAAACATCGTAACGAGTTGCAGTGCCTACTTTTAAAAGCACTTAAATGTCCTATTGCAAGTACAGTATCTTTCGCTCTATAAGACGCACCCAACCATAAAGACGCACCTAGTTTTTAGAGAGGAAAACAAGAAACAAGAAAGCAACACAAAGCCTCCTGAGTGAAGAGGCAGGAGCACTCTGGCTGCACTCAAGAGGCTTTGCGTGGCTATCCCCGAAGTCAGAAGAGCAAGAGGAATCACTGCGCACTGATCGCTCTCGCTGTTCTGGCTTCTGGGATAGCTGTGCAGCCTGCATTCGCTCCATAAGACGCACACACATTTCCCCTTACTTTTTAGGAGGGAAAAAGTGCGTCTTATAGAGTGAAAAATACGGTAATTCATACCCAATGTCCGTGGTACCCTGAGGCTGGTTCCTTTAGGCTCCAGGATTGAGAACAAATAGGACAGACCCTGCACTCAGAGCCCAAAGCCCGAGTGTGAGTCCTGCAGGTTTGGCATTTCTGCCGAGATGCCATTCAGCATTTGGCTCAAATTCAGCGTTCTGCTGTCTTTCAGCATTCTGCTGTTATTCAGCATTTTGCTCCCATAGAAAGAAAGGCTTTGCTTTTGGTTGTTAGGCCACCATCCGCAGAAGTTCAGCCTGTACTTTCTCTTATCAAGAGATAATCTTATTTCTCTTACCATCTCTTCTTTCCGCCCTGCCAAGGTTGTTGGTGACAACGCCGCTGAACCTGGTTTTTAAGAAGCCAGCGCCTGAGAAGCCAGTTTCTGAAGCTTCTCAGGTTTCTCAGCAATCCCCTCTCTTATCTCAGCCCAATCTTTCCTGTGATACCTCATTTCACCCCTCAAGTCTGCCTCACTTAGCAGGCATAGCAGTGCCTCCTGAGTCGGTAAAGGCTCAGAAGGCAAACATCTCTGCTGTCCGGCAAATGGTTAAGGAGGCAAAAGCATCTTCTCACCTAACTGTGGAAGAGCTTGCTGACCTAAATATGCTGAGTCCGGTTACATGGGCACCGGATGGTCAGGGCCAACAGGTTCACTCACTTCCATACATCACTACTGGGAAAACCATAGCTTTAACTATATGGACCTTTGTTGGAAAGGTGATGTCTCTACTTTTTAAGATGCTGTCTCGGTTTGACATTGCCCCCTATATGTTTAGCATAGTCTTTATGGGACTGAATTGTGAATTAGTTCATGTCTGGCATCGGCTATCAGCTAGGTAAAGGTAAAGGGACCCCTGACCATTAGGTCCAGTTGTGGCCGACTCTGGGGTTGTGGCACTCATCTCGCTTTATTGGCCGAGGGAGCCGGCGTACAGCTTCTGGGTGATGTGGCCAGCATGACTAAGCCACTTCTGGTGAACCAGAGCAGCGCACGGAAACACTGTTTACCTGCCTGCCAGAGCGGTACCTATTTATCTACTTGCACTTTGACATGCTTTCGAACTGCTAGGTTGGCAGGAGCAGGGACCGAGCAACGGGAGCTCACCCTGTTGCGGGGATTTGAACCGCCGACCTTCTGAACAGCAAGTCCTAGGCTCTGTGGTTTAACCTACAGCGCCACCCGAACCCACAGCGCCACCCGATCAGCTAGGTGGTCT